GAGAGGAGGACATAAGCACACATACATACTTTTTTCATTTTTATTTTATTTGGTTCTGTGGGTTGTATTTGTTTTGTTTCATGTATTCCTGATGCTTTGGCAATATAGTTCTCACAACATTCATGACAATAAAACAAATTTGAGTCAAATTGAATTTAATTGAATTGACTTGACTGGAGAGGAGAGGAGAGGAGATGACGGGAGAGCAAGAGAGAGGAAAAGAGAGAGGAGAATATAGGACCACAGGAGCTTGGCAAGGGAAGACAGGATGAGAAGAGAGCAGTGAAGGCCCTCCTGCCCAGTGCCCACACAAGTAATACAATGTAATAACATGTAACGCAATGCATTATCATTATGGTAAAAAGAAAAAAAAGGTATATATATATAAGAGAGAAATTTGGTCCCCCCCAATGTTGACTCCATGGTTTAGGCCTTGGATGATAATACAACACAAGATAATTTGCCTCATTCCTCCCATAAACTATCAGGCTCACACTTCATTCACCTCACTCATCACCAATGTAATTGCTTCCCATCAGCTCACATTAGCAATCTTTTGCAAAGCAATTTAATGAATGATTTTTGGAATTATTATAATTTTTTTTATGGCACTTTCACTGCTTAGCACTGATGAAAACAGCTATGAGGCCCGAGGCACAGATAAAGGGTGATCTCAGGAGTTAATATTGATTCGGGTGATGGTTGTCACTGAACCAGCAGAAATATTCCAGCTTACATTAAGTTATTAATGTTACAGCTGTCCCTGTGTCAGACACATGACTTACTAAACAGATAAATGAGAGCATATACCTTATTCCAGTCAGAGGAGGTAGCCACAGGGTCCTCAGCAGCCAGTGCTATACTACTGGCAGCTATAACCAGCAGGATGGACATTTCAAAGTACCTGAGGTTCACGACGTAGTGACACGCTCGACGCACCCTGAGGGGGAGCAGATGGCAGAGTGAGGTCAGGTACCACATAAGACTATGCAGGCTTAGGCTGGCTGAAAGTTAATGGCAGCAGGAGTAAACAGCATGGATGGTGTGCAGCAAATCTAAACTAAAAAGACAAAACTCTGAATACCACGTTTGAACTGCCATTACACTTCATCACAACAATATTCTCTGGAAATGTATCCCAAAGGGCTCAACACTGCTATAAGGATGTCTGTGAAGAGTCCGCTCCGTTAAGACAAACTGTAAAACACAGTTTCCTGTGAGAGGTGGGAGTGAAAAGCAACTTACGGGTTGTCAGGTTTGAAGATGAACATGCTGTTTGGAGTCACAGTGTTGACAGGATTTGTGGCCTCGGCCTCCTCTTTCTCTGACTTACAGATTTCAGGATCCTTGCTGTTCACTGGAGGAGGTCAGGAGAAGAAGGTGGTGAGGTCATATTATATATATTTCCCACTACAATAAAAAGTAATAGATTTTAAAAGCCAAAAGCTGGGCAAGTTGTCGCTGAGGAAACAAATTGACAGCTACAGGTGCTGCAGCGATGGTTCATGTTAGCAGGTCTGAATTTGACTTATTGCAGGCGACAGGGCTGCAGTGATGGATGGAAGTTATGTCGCAAACCAACTAATGTTACCAGAAAAAACCACCGCACCAGTACCTGTGATTGTAGAGAGCTCCATACATGAAGTTGCACTGGGCACCTCGATGACGACACTGGAGCTGAGCTGAGATTTGTCCTGGTCCTGCTCCGTCTCCTTCTCTTCTTTGTTGTCCTCTGAGATGGCCGGAGGAGAAGGGTCTGATTGCTGGAGAAGCTCATCTTGCTTCTGAGGACACGGGTCATCGGTGTGGCTCTGCTGGTCATCTGGTGGGTTTATGTCTCCTTCTTCACCCCCTTCAACCTGTCTGCAGATGCAGAAAGAAACATTGGATATGAGTATAATATGATATCCAGGGATTAATCTGACCCAGAATATTTTTGGTATCTTTTCCTTCTCTCTACCTGTAATCATTGCTCTCTCTGTTTACTTAATGTGATCTGATTATTAAGGATGAAACTTAAACCATAGACTCTCTATAAAAATGGACGACAAGACAGCTCCCCAAAAGTAAAGCCAAACCATTTTGTTCGCCACCTGGTGGCCCTCTACAGTACAGTTCACAAACCTCCTTCATGTTAACTGATGAGGCAAACTAAAAAGTTCTCTCAAGGATGGTTGTCATGTTAGGTAGAAGTTATCGCTCTGATGTTTGATTAGTTTGTCAATTGTCCAGCAAGTTTGGTTTCAAATAGTTATTCGATGCTATAAAAATGGGGTGAAAGGTCATGATTGACAGCTGAGACTGACTCATGATTGGAGGGATCACAGACTCTGGCTTCAAATGACATCAAAAGTGACAGTTGAAGGGACTCGTCTCAAGGATGTTTGGCTTCAGGAGGAAGCAGAGATGCGTTTATTTACAGTCTATTTGCCAAACAATAATCTTTTTCTCGTCTCACCTGCTCTCCACAGGTTCGGACACCTCCTCCTCCTTTTTGGTCTCCACCTCCTTCTCCTCTACCTTTCCGGGGTTGCTCTTCCTCTCCCTGCTGACCGAGCGACTTGCCAAATGGCTGTCATTACCAGGAGATGACCCCTGACTTTTGGCTCCACTCTTATGGTCACAGTGATGTGCCGCAATCCTGTCCCTGATCCTGCCAAGACCTCCCATCTCAGGAGTCAGTGTGTGAATGTTATCTGGTGGTCTGAACTTCTTCACTGCCCTGTGCTGGCGATCACCATTCAATCTGGGGCTCCTGCGCTCACTGATGGTGTTGTGACCCTGAATAACACCCAGTGTTCTGCTCTCAGACAAGGGCTCTGATTCAGGAGACTCTTGTATGGTCATAGACACAGAGGCATCAGGCAGAGGCTCATTTGTGGTGTCCAGTGACTCAGGGACGGACATTGGGCATTCAGGTTTGTCACCAGAGAGGACGGCTCCCAGAGAGTCATCCACAGGCATGGAAGGAGCCGGGTTCTTGGCTGGTGATGCTAAGGGATCTGCCAGGCGTTTCAAACTCCCAGACGGTGTGTTCTGCATGGCCTTACGGTGCAGCGACAGCGGGTGTCCATGCTGGGCCTGGGCTGAGGCTGGAGACCCGTCCTTTTCCTCGCTGGGGCTGTTGAACAGGATCTCTCGGCTGGACATCTGGCGGTGTCTCCGCAGCTGGCTGGTCCTCTGCTCCCACACTGACATGGTCATCCTTTTTCTCCTCTCTCTCCTGGACATGAAAGAGTTAGAGGGATTGAGTGGTGGGGGTGGGCGGCCCTCCCTGATGCTGCCCTGCGCCTCCTCCAGGGAGCAAGAGTAAGTGGGGCGGCTGCGATGGATGGCTCTTTTCCTGTACAGGTAGGGCCGCCTCCTACGGCTCCCCCTGAGAAGAGAAAGACAAGACATGACGTCAGAGAATTTATAACAGTCAGTGTCACGTTTCGTATACACAGTAGATTAAGACTTAATTTCCGTTTGTACTGATTTATTCATCCAGGTTTGAAATGAGTTTAAAATTCTACAATAAAAAGTTTTAATAAAATAAGCAATAAAAACACTTCCAGCAAAAACTTGGAATCACACAACAGAGCAGGTGCTTTGGTCTGATGTTTGAGTGGTTTATAACAGCAAAAATAAAGCCAATTCATTTCAACATGAAGCGATTTACTGGATCAATGGTGATGTTAGGTGATACATTAATAAAGCCTGGGAGTGTTGTTTGACTCATAACAAAAAGAGTATGAAGCAGAAAGAAATCAGTGGAATAGATTTAAGAAATGTGTAGTTTGGAGAGTTCGGAGGTACAGGACAGAGCGTGAACAGAGCACGACAACACAGGATGAGTCTGGGACATTTTACCCCATTTAAGACAATCAGGCAGGCGTTAGAAAGAAATTCAGAGAGCAGAGCAGACAGTGTTACTTACTGGAGTCGAGGACTCTTGTGTGGTCCGTGTTATCAATGAGCGATTGGTTGAAAACAAGACATTAGTGCTTTTGTGGGCAGAGACAAAACAGGGCCAGGAGACACACACAGCAAATGGAACTCAGCGATCGTAACCTGGCCTTTCACACAAAGACCACGTCACGAAAACAACTACGCACAATGTAAATGGCATTTACAAGATGTTCTCCATTTGTTATTCATCGCTGATGGCTAGAGCTACTCTTTTAGAAGACTACACGCACACATTAAATATTAATTTTAGATTTAACTGCAACATGATGAATTCTGTTTGCAACTGAATTATTTCTCTCATCTCTTCTTTAAACATTTACAATGAAGCAAGCATAAATTTAAAAAACTGGACTTTTTATGTTTTGGTGTGTGTCTCCATTGGAGCCAAGCGGCACATTGACAAACAAGATGGTAACAGTGTTAGAAACAGTTAAAAAACATTCATAAACATCAACAGTCAGCACAACATTGATATAAGACATCATTAATAGACAGTCTGGGCTACAGTATGGGTAGAAAACACAAAGATGGGGGGGGGTAAGAGAACATTTAAATACCCTTTGTACAACAACCACCACATTGGGATGCAGCTCTGAGCACCACTGCCACCTCAGCTCATTCACACGCTTGCATTCCTTTAGGACATGCTCATAAAGCCAAAGTCAGGAAATCCATTTGCGGTGCTTTAGAAAAAAATGCGCTGAAATATTCAAATTGCTCAAGAGCATTTGAGGCGAGCGATTGAAGACTTCACAGCGGAAGAAAAACTGCACACACACTGAAAACACGCTCCAGATATCACAGTTTTCATATGATTTGTTGCATTCTCCGAGAGCATGTGTGCAACTTCTGTTTTTCTTCCTGTAATCATGCTGACTAGATACATGCAATCCCAAGGTGAAATGATCATCAGCCTCCAACATGCAACATCTCTCTCTCCGTCTCTTTTTTTACTGAGCAAATGCTGTCATGCAAGTTTCTTCAAGGTCACCGGGGGCAGGTACTTGTGGGGATTCACAGCTGACATCTGAGTTGAGACCAGAAACCCTTAAAGTTCATAGTGTCCTCTCTGAATACAGATGCCGGTCCAGACGACCCTGAGGTATTCAAGTCTCCTCTATGGGCTTTGACAGGGGCCTGACCCTCTGCTCGCTCAACTGACACTAAAACAAAGCTAAACTTTCACTTTCTGCCCTGGTTCTTCTCCTGGTCTGTTCTGATCCATCAGTTCATTTATGTGCAGGAAGTTTCGAGAAACAAATGCCTTGACGAGGGAAGGCAGAATGGAAGGAAGGCAGGGAGGACGTGAGTAAGAAAGTAAGACAGGAAGGAAGAGACAAAAATTAAGGTAAGGAAGGAAGAAATGGAGGGAGGGAGGGAAGGAATAAAGAGGTAAGAAAAGAAGGAAGGAACAAAAGGAAGGTTGGGAAGGAAGGAAGGAAGGAGGCAGTTGGGAGGAAAGAGGGAGGGAAGGAATGCACGTAAGGAAGGAAGAGAAGAAGGAAGGGGCAAAAAGTAAGGGAAGGAAGGAAAGAAGGAARGAAAGAGAGAGAGAGAAAGACAGAAAGAATGAACGAGAAATAAAGAAACAAATAAAAAAGAAAGAAAGAGACAGAAAAAAAAGAGAGAGAAAGAGAGACAGAAAGAGAGAGACAAAGAAGGAACATAATTGTTTAATAAAATGTTAACTTCTGAAATCTTCCACATGCACATGCAACAAAGTGCTTGTTTACTGGACCAGACGCCCCCACTCGTGTGCATGCACATGCACGTCCACCACCTATAACGATGCATTGAGTAATAAAACAATCCACTGTGGCAGGAGGCTGGGCACTGAGAAAACAATGTCACGTTATTTTAGGAATCAAACCTTCCACAAGTGAGACAACAGATCAGAGCCTGCACACACTTTGTTTTACTTCTTCTGTACAACCCCAACGTCCACTTTACTGATGGACACACCATGTTAATTTGGAAACTGAGTAACCCTGTCTCCATGACAACACTACAGGCACCTCCCACCCCTGGTGTGGAACCAGTAACCATGGAGACATAGACTTCAATTAGGAGTATGCAGCGCTGCAAGCAGGCAGAGGTTTGACAGGAGGCCTTTCAGTCTATCAATAAGTCTCTAGTGGGACAGAAACAAATACAACAGAAACAGAAACAAGAGTCAAGCTTTCAAATAACATATAACGTGACAACCCTTAACCTTCCTCTATAACTGCTCTGCATCATTATTATTAACCCTATCCTACTTCACCAAATGATAAGACTTGTCATTTGCTGGAGGACACAGCAACACGTGTGAAGTGTTGCACCGGGGGTCAGACCCATAGAGACGCTCTCTGGAGGGAGTGAGGCTGAGGAGAGGAGCAAGTCAGGCAGGGAGAGCGGTTGCTTACTTACTCTGAGGACATAAAGGAGGACAACGGGCCGACCTCCTTGGCTTTCTGTAGAGCGTGCTTCTGGTTGAACGCTGCCTCTGCTTCCTCTTCATCCTGATCAAGAGAGCAAAAGGCGGCTGACTGACTAAAGCATCTGCAAGTTTAAATAATTAAACAGAAGTGAAGTGAAAAGTAAGAGAGAAGAACTGGACAGAGTGAAGAGATTATCATTTAGCAGAAAGTAATAGATTCCTGAGAACTAAAGCAGATAAGAGCAGTCTTACTCTTTATAGTTATATCTCTGTTTAGTACCTTGGTGAGTTCTTGTGCATTCGCAAGATTATCGACAGCGATGGCCAAGAAGACATTCAGCAGAGTGTCTGGTCACAGCTGAGTTAAGGACTGACAATGACTCCTTGTTAAGAGACTGATACGTGTACTTGCATGGGATTCAACCATCCAGTCCTGTCTTTGTGACCTAATCCAGAAAACCACATGTCACCCTAACATGCAGACTGAAATGGTAAAGGGAAGGAAGTAGGAAAATGTGCGTGAATTAAAAATTCAGCACAAAAAAGTTATGTAAAATGGAAAATCGAGATTAATAATAGATTGATAAATTATCAAGTGATTTGATTAAAACAGTAAAAATCTGTCTTACATTAATCATTCACAACTATTTATCATTACAGGAAAATGGCCTCAAGAGTGGAAATAACAGAAAATAATTGAAAGTGACAGTGATAAAACTATTAATGGAAATGATCAAATATATGTGAATTTATATTTTACCATTAAGTTCATCATAAAGTGGTGAAATGCCTCAAACATTTTATTTTTCTTTCTTCTGGAGTTGTAGGCTGAAACCTGGACTAAAAAATTAGGGTTTTGGTGTCATGTTAGCCAGAGAACTTGGTAAGAGAATAATTTAGATGCTCTGAGTTGAGTATTTCAGGTGATCCTTTATTTTATGATTCTTTTATTTTATCTAACTTTCTGAGAACGTTCCTACTATATAATTAAATGACTATAACAAGCTGTTCATGGTTATTTTGCAAGATTTCATACTTACATTACATACTTACATTTTACCCACAGTGCTCACCATGCTGATTTGCTTCATCTGTTCATAAAGCCTTCTGGAATTTCTGCCTAACTTTCGTTTTTAGGCGGGTCCTGAATACACTACGGTTGAAGAGGTGTTTGAAGGGCTAGATGACCGCTTCAAGACCATGCACAAAACAAAGGGGTAGAGCCAAATGGTCAGGCTAAGGGGGTCAACAGGGACAGGACCTTACTCTACCATGACAGAGAAAGTGACAACTGTAAAGTGAATGAAACCTTCCACATCTGACAGAGGAGTCATGAAGGATACAGTTTCCAAACAATGTGAGCACAATAAAGTAGATGGAGGACCACATGCCAGACTTTACTCCTCCTTGAGAGCGAATACCGTTGTACATAACCTCATTCCAGTCCTCTCCAGTCAGGATCTGAGAAAACACACACACACAGTCACACAGAATATTATCCACAGAAGTTGTGCTTCGCAAACATCAATGATGTGAATAGTTAAAAATTAGCTTGCATTGTGATTTACTGTAAGAAAGGTGTGTGAGGCAGAGAGCAGTAAATTGTCATATTTCCAGACCTGAAAGACGGTCATGATGGCGGCGGGAAAGGTGTCAAAGTTTGTTGGGGAGTAGTCCTCAAAGATGAACCTTTGAAACAAGATGTGACATATTTTTTCTTTAAAAAGCACAGTTGGGTCTATGTTGTTTTTTAAAGATTTTTTAGTCAAAGAAAAATCAATCTTCCTCCTCTGACTGGCTGATGGAGCTGCAGTTTGGGTTTTCCTGAGCCCTGTATTCTGGAGGCCAGTTCATACACAAGACCGAGCTTGTCTAATTCAGCCAGCCTTTATTGAAACGACAGCTTGTAGGGACTCGAGGGAAAACAGAGTAATAGCTGAGTGTTACAAAGGCACAGTCTCAGTTTCTTTCTATAATGAAAACAACTGTGAAAAGGACAATCTATTCTCTCCTCACCTGTTTCTGTTCAGTAAAGAGAAATCCATTGAACCATGACATCTTCATCAGCCTTGTGTTTAAGTTTGTAAATTTGTGTCCATTGAAACCACAAGAAATATCGACATGCCCAAGTGTTCGCTCAGATGGATAACACCCATATAATGCTGCAGTGGATGTGTGTGTGGTAATTTGTGGCTTTTTCCTGTCTGTAACAATGATAACTGGGGCAGTTTTAATCCAATTTGGATTTAGTGGCAAATTGGTTAAGGGGAAGGATCAGGACCCTTTGTCAATGATTTTTTTTTCAAATCTGTTAATGGTCAAGGTCACATCATTTTGTATATACATACATTTATTTAACAAAGGTATGGTCTTTAATATCTGTTTGCTCATTGTGGGAACTGTTGGGTTTCTCTATACATTTTGAAAGTCTCGATCTTCTATGTAATGTGAATTGAATAATTCAGATATATTTTGCATTAATATATATTGAAACATGTTTAATTGACATATTTAAATACCATAAAAAATAATCCAGTAATGATATCAAGAGAGACAACATACATATGCTCCATAAAGAAAGATGGACAACAAGTCTACAAATCCCCCCACTATACAGAAAGGAAGCCAATATACCCCAGACATGAACATTTATATCATATATTTTACAGTGATATTATCAGCTTATTATAATTGTAACTAGCCCGCAACCCTTTTAAAATTCACAGATTAAAATAACTTTATCATTTTGTCAATCAATAAAGTTAAGCAGCTATTGAATATTTAAGACTTCATGCACTGCAGGTATTGTGTCTCTCTAAGCATTTCTAGCTGCTCATGACTTTTTAATGTTACCTGCCACCGAAGAGCTGCATGCCCAGGAGCGCAAATACAAGGATGAAGAGGAAGAGAAGGAAAATGAGGGAGATGATGGACTTCATGGAGTTCATCAGAGAGACCACCAGGTTTCTCAGAGACGCCCAATACCTTGACAGCAACAAAAGGCCATGTTAGTGAGAAAAAGACAACAAAGTGCATAATTCTTATACTGTAATAAATTAGTATATACGTGACCGCCAACAGTCAAGTAAGAGTTTAACTTTTTGTAATGAATGTCATGGATGTTTGGTTATAGGATCTTAAATGTTTTAGAATGAATGAATCTCCAGCCGACTCATTACACTTTATTCATTCTAAATATGTGCAACTGCATATCACAACAACATGTCAAGCTGCACAATGCAAAGACTGTAGAGTTGACTAACTTGGTGATCTTGAAGATCCTCAGCAGACGAAGAGCACGGAGGACACTGATGCCAAATGAAGTTCCAGGCCTGAAGAAACCCCAGAGCACCTCAAAGATGCTGCCAACAATTACCTGAGAAAATAGGAATTCATAAGTAAACTGCAGCTTTGAATAAAAAAACACATTAATAAACTGATGTATAGCAATTATGGCATTTTGACAGGAAAGGTGAGACAGAGAGTGAGACAGAAAGCATGCCAAAAGAAACAGATATAGGGTGTGAGGGAGGATGCTGCATAACTAATCAACACAAGCAGCTGGATTTTGGGAGAAACAAATATAAGGAGAGGGAGACAGAGTACTGACGCTGCAGTCAAAGCAGTTAAAGGAGGAGTGGAAGTAGAGACGTGGTCCCAGGCTGTACATCTTCAGGAACATCTCAGTCAGGAACAGAGCGAGGAACAGGAACTCTGCATAGTCTGGAACAGAGACAGTCATTAGTATTCTGAAACTGACTTATTGCAAAAACATGATAAAACTGTGATTTTTTAGAGCATTTGACAGCTTCTACCAGAACACTTCTTATATTCCTGCAGCTGCTGAAATGAAGTGTGACTCACAGAGGAAGGTGGACAGCCAGAGAGGCTGGTTGTGGTGAACGATGGCCACACAAAGTGTGTTGAGGGCCACTAGGCCAAGCACCGTCCAATAAAAAGTGTGTGTCTTCACCACGCGGCGGATGGAGATGCGCAGGAGACGCTCCTTCCGCCGAAAATAGGCTGTCGGACCTCGCTTGACGCTCCTGATACTTGCTCTGGCCATGGGGATGCCTGGGGGGAAACAGGAGAGTCAGAGAGAGACAGTATTAGTACATGTTCCCACTGTGAATCCTGAACCCAGAGTGTGGGCTTAATAGCCTTATCAAGTATGCACTGCAGTATGTACACAAAATATGCCCATATTTATGAGCCTGTCCAGACTCCCACTCACCCACAGAAGAGATGTCACCATATTGTTCTTCCCCTGGTTGCCCTCGATGCACCACATCCATGCCTCTCCTCTTGATGGTGGTGGCTCTCTTCAACACTGCTGACAAAGCATGATGAGCATTAAAAAGTACAGCAAGCTGCACAGACAGTATGAAATTAGAGAGAGCATACTGTCAGGGCAGTGACACAAGGCCAAGGTTTGGGAAACACCATTGAAGCAGTTTTTCATTGATGATGTCATGTTGAATCACTGATTAGATATTGTTGGTTGTAAATCATGAAAGACAAGAAAGATTTTTTAATAATCTCCCAGGTAACATTTAGGACCTGAAGAAGGACCTGTGCCTGAAACGTTACCTAGGAGGTAAGTGAAAAGTTTGAGGGAGCATAAACTAGTGTGCGGACATTTCTTGTCTTCAGGTTTTCATCACTTCTGTCCAGCACTGTGTGCCTATCAGGTTTGGAAGTGAGTACTTTCATATACTTTCTGTACATCAACATGGCCAAAACACTTTGTAGGACCACCCCTTCATTATAAAGACACACATACATAGACAATATGAGAATGCAATGAAAAGGTGATGGTGAAGGAAATGGGAAGCATCTGCCAGACAAGCTCATGCCTGTGAAGTTTTAGCTGAAAGGCAAAGTTGAGCTCATTATGAATGAGATAAAAATGATGATTTAATGTTTGTGTAATGATCCAAACAACTGAATGGAAACCTTCTGCTTCTATTTTGAGATCTCCATCATGGCAAACCATGCTCCGAGGCGATTTTGACGGTCCATGCATCTTCTGTATCTAAGCTACGTGCAAGTGCTTCTGCCATTCAGTTTTGGGGGACACGCCGTGCAGTGGGCACATGCCGAGGTGTGTTTTGACCTTTTCACTGACGTATGTGTTTATGATTACCTTTCAGCCTACACCACTAACACCTCCCCTCCACCTGATTTCTGAATCTACTGAATATTTGCTTGAGGACTTTTTTAAATAAGCCACTGTTCAAACATACACACACACAAACGCACACACACACAAATATTGCTGCCATTTCACAGGAGTGTTTGCAAAAGTAAGGGACAGTCCTGTCAAAACACACACACACCGAAAACACACACACACACACGAACAACAAGCACATGCATGTTCTTTCAGATCAGAGGTTGCTAAGGCAACTACAATGCGGCAACGCTATCAGAGCCTCTGCATTTATTCCCATCCCAGCAGCCAGCAGTTTGTTTTTACTCCATATTTGCATCATTTAGTTTATTTTGTAACACACTGAAGCGGAAAGTGTTTGCATGTGTACATTTCAGTGACAGTGTGTTTGTGTGTGTGTGTGTGTGAGCAGTCGGAGAGCAGAACAGAGGAAGGTTCTCACCATAGGCACCACCTGTACTCCACTCTGGGAGGCTCCTGAGTGCTGCCAATCAATCAACATTTAATAAAAGCCCTGCTGGTTTAGCGAGGAGGAAAGGTCAAAGTAGAGCTGAGAGGGTCAGAGCAGGTACTTAGCCTTCTGTGAAGCACTGTGTCCAGTGGCAGGTTTAACGCCATCACTGGTAATGCTCTCACTACGTGGCATTCAGAGTTGCAGACTGTAACACTGATCTGTGCAAGCTCAAATCTTAAATTGATATAGATATAAAAATTAAAAAAATGCCTGTTCTAGTGGCTCCATTGTGTTTTACCTAGATGCAGATTGGGTTAAATGCTGACATCAGCATACTAGCATGGTCACAATGTTAAAACAGCATAATTTATAACAGCATGGTCTGTGGGGCCTAATGTTAAATCACAACATATTGTGATCTTGGTCTAGTATTTATCATGTTCAACATATTTGTTTTGCGTGTTTTCATTTGCTAATTAGAGCAAATCAGTAGAGCTAATGAGGGGAATGTTTAGCACATAAACCAATGTGTTATTGTATAGTTTTCACCTGAAGATGGCGCTAGATTAAGTAAGTGGATCACCTAAATGTTGGGTATAGTGGTGCTTTTTAGATTCTTCTGATATAAATGCTGCTAGTACACTCATAATGACAGTGCTAACATGCAAAGTTCATCATGTTCACCATAATGTTGTGGGTTACCATGCTAACACAGGATTCTTATTTCTAAACACAAAGTTGAGGCTGATGGGAATGTCATTAGTTTGGTCATAAAATGTAGCAGTGGTTTCATTTTGTCCTGATGGTGGCGCTAGATGAAAATCCCAAGGATCACCAAAGATACTAGGTTTCATCCTCTGGTGACGTGTTGTGTCCACCAAATTTCATAGTAATCCAACAGTTGTTGAGACGTTTTATTCAAAACCACAAATCCTGGTGGCACAAGAGGAATTGTGATCTTCAAAGTCAATGGGAAACATCATCTGGGAACCATGAATGTGTGTACAATATTTCATAGAAATCAAACGAATATTATAAAGATATTTCAGTTTGGACCAATGTGGTGGACTGACCCCTCAACTGATAACACCGTTTTAAATGATCAACCAGACTAAATGTGTAATTCATCTTCACTGAAAAAAATGTTTCATGTTTTTATCTGTATTTTAAGAAAATTAGTGTTGATCCTAAAATCATGAGAATAAGCAACAAAAACTACAATAGCATATGACTGAATAGCCTTTACAAAGCAAACTGGCCAGCTTAAAAATTAAACAGAATGTAAAGCAATGTGAGAGTTGCAGAGTGACAATGTGCACAGAGCGACCAGGGAAATAAAACGTTCTTACCATCGAGAGCAGAGGGTCCTGGATTCTTATTCTCCTCAGCCAGCATCACCTCCTCTGGAAAGCACAAAGTCAGAGTATGATCAGAAATGAGCAGCGGATGATGGCTCAGATGGAAAGAGATATACTGGCATCTTTTTCTTTGCAGCTATATTTGAAGCTTAATTGTAACATACAGCCGGCAGACAACAGGTTGCATCAGACAGCTCCACAATTAAAAGGATTAGTCTTAGCCTAAAGTGAAATATTGATTTTCCTTTTCTCATCAAGAGCCAAATTACTGTGTCTCCTCTCAGCTGTGACTGGGAATAAAGCCACCTGCTCTGTCGATCCAGGCCCGGTAACCATTGAGCTCTCTCTCAATCTGCTGCTGGCGTCTCAGTTTCATGAAGGCCCTGCGGTTTTCCACTCGCTCTCTCTCCTTGGCAAATTCCCTGCAGAGACCAGAGAAACATTTATTTACTCTTTCAGGGTAAAAGGATTTATGGTCAGGGGCGTAAATAATTGCACTTGGAGACAATTCCTGGGGACATTTGCTGTTGTTGTCTGGAACTGGGCTCTTTTCATTGTTTATTCAACCACAAAAGGAGAGAGGAGATGAGAGGAGAGGAGAGGAGAGGAGAAGAGTGGATGGGGGAGGGGAGGTCTCTTCTCTTTACCATTGAGATAATGGCATTGGATCCCCAATTAACCTCTTGTAAAACTAATTAACTTGAACAGACTCTGACACCACTTGCTGAAACACAGTTGACAGTATAGTTTCTGCACAAACTACATAACCAGCCAGGGAAACAGAAAGTCCCATTAACTAAATAAAGTGCATGTGAACCTGCAGCTCATTTGATAAATTCTTCAAAGGATGGTGTGAAGGACCTGGAGACCAGACTGAACCTGTGCACACATTACAGAAGATTCAGATATCTTCACAGAGACCGAAACCAACGGTGCATTTGAGCAGTCCTCAGTTAATCCTCTTAGTCATCTGTTGGGCATAAGGCCTCAGAGAGTACCCTTGTTTGGCAGCTCTTTGTAGCCTCTGTGACAGACATTTGCTATACAGGGAATCATTGCTAGCTCCACATTGAGTGTGGGTGTGCTTCCTCTTGAATGGCCCCTCACCTGACACCAATCTAGCTATGTTGAAGCTGCTCTCAAGCCTCTCCACCAGAAAAGTAAAAGCACCAGGACAAGCACTGATACACAACATATGCAGGCTGCTTATACATCTAACATTTCTAAGTTTGAAAATCCACGAGGTGGGATGCAAACCAGTGTGAACTTCAATTCCATCAAACTTAGAAAAATATGTACCTAGCGGAGCTCCTCTCACCTTGCGTTATTCTCAAAACCTTTAGGGCTATCTTACCTTCATCAGGGTGATGTCTGAGGTTGTTTCCTGGTTTCTTGTTTAAAGCCAGTAAATACAGTAAAGTATACTTTGGATGTTTGCGCTTTTGTATACTTATTCAAATTTTGACCAGTTGTAACCTGGACTCAAAGATAAAAGGATTAGATTCCAGTTCTCAAAGGTCACTTTGACCTCATATGAGTCTGGGAAAAAATATGTATCCTGAAACTACAGTGGTAGGTGAATGCATACAACCATTATTGATTCAGCTCCTGCAGTGAATTTAACAATGACTAACACTTGTTACATTAGATGCATGATTCATACCAATGACCAATGACTATCTGAATGCACCATTTAACTACTGACCAGCATGCAATGGACTGGAATGTCAAATAAAGGTCTATTCTACAGGCTGCATTACTGAGACACAAATAGACAGACCCTTAACTGGGACACTCTGTCTGGCAGTCAGACACGGAAAACTCAATATGCTTAAACTGGGATCTTAGGACTGAAGAGCGAACCTACCCAGAGAGGACTCCCAGCACCAGGTTCAGGACAAAAAAAGAGCCGATGATGATGAGAGGGATGAAGTAGAGCCAGTTCCAGCTGGGGCCCAAGGCATCGTCAGTCTGAGACATAAAAAAAAAAAAAGGTTTAATCTCAATAAAATCAAGTCAGGCTGGAGCAGACTCGACTCATGGTGCAATTGTGACATAAGACAGAAATACTAAGAAAGTGTAGGTGTTTGTGTGGCTGCTGAAGGTCTGAGCCCAGGAGAAGGCTGGGCTCTGAACAGAGACATGATGTGTATTGATCTGCTTCAGCCTCACAGAGAGAGTGTGTGGAGGTTTTCTGGGAACTGCTGCTACTGCTGTTTTTTTATCCTCTGTCCTCAACTTTGATTAAAGTTTCTGCAGAGCATCTTTGATTCTGGAAATATCTGTCATTTACCAGACTATACCATTATCAAATCAGTGTACAAGTGTTAACAAAATAGTCATCACTGTCACAGTAATAGGCTCCAGGCACTGTATTGGGTACACCATTGTAGTACTGGGAAGATGATAAAATGTGGCCATAGTCAGGAACAATACTCAGAAAGACTGTGGCATTTAAACAATGGCTGATTGTTATTATGGGACCCGTAATCTGACATGAAAACATTCCCCACACCATTAAACACACCAACAATCACAGTCTGGCCTGTTGACACAAGGTTGGCTCCATAGACTGATGCTTTTAATGCCAAATTCTGACTCATACATCTGAAGCCTCAGTAAAAATTCAGATTCATTAGACCAGACTCCTTTTTCCAGTTATCAGTTATCCAGTTTTGTTGAGCCTGTGCCCATGGAAGCTTGAAATTCTTGTTCTTGGCTGACAGGAGAGGAACCCGACATGTGTTGTTTTGAGTCAACAGACTGTTAGAAGTGAAAATCCCAGGAGATCAGCACTTTCAGAAATAATGCTACTGACATATAGCCACATGATTTTATGCATTACACTGCTGCTGCATGATAGGCTTGATTGAATGATTGCGTAAATAAACAGGAGTAGAGTCCTATTATAGTTCATATCCATGCATACAGAGACATTGCAAATTCCAAAGCTGAGCAGCCCCACGTGATGACAGCGATAATTATTTTGCAATATGTTATTCTAATGACTTGTTATAATGACATGATTTCATACAGTGTTCCAGGGTTTTGTAATTCGGCTCTGCTGCGTGCAGATGTGAGCATGATGAGACTTGATTTGTTGGATGGTCACACAGGCAACAGCTTCATCAAACTCCCAAATGGTTCCACTGCCTGCCTCTCTGTCTGCACACTGTCTGAGTGTGTCCGCCTGCTCCTCTCACTCTGACACAGACACTCGTGAAGCACAGTGCAGCATCAAATCCCTGACACTTCCTCTCCAGCAGAAAATTACATTATTACTGGTTTCAGTGCACGTAACTTCAACACGTCTCCGTGAGATGCAACATGATATGTGAAGTTCACTTTTGTAAAGCTTTCAAAACATTGTCTCAAATACTACGGCTGGTGGATCTAGAGAAGTCTCTTCAGGACTTCCAAGAGACTTTGATCAAAACTTTCAGTTTTTTTTTACTTGTCCATGTCCATCCTGTCAGTTGGTCTTGGAGCAATAGCAAGTCTAGCCTGGATCAAAAATCACACATTTTGTATAAAAAAATGAATTTATCACATAAAAATGGAAGAATAAATGAGTTCAGTCAGCGGACTAGAGCTGTGGTGCTCTTTTCATGTGACATGCCTCACTCTCAAAAATCATACACACACTCCTGCTGTGGCGGTCTAGTAAGTTGCAAATATTTCCTGTCTTTCGTTTTGCTTGTCAATGTCTCTTCTGTCCTGCTTCTATAGAAGCATAGAAGGAATTTTTCTGCTAACTTTAAGTTGAGGGTGCACTCTTGATGAGAGTATACATATACATATACTGTACGCTGATTTTGTATTTTCAGTTAACTTTGAATCTACTCAACATGCTCATATTCACACATAACAGAAGTAGATACAACATTTCTACAATATACTGAAGTCAGCAATATTTCATAGGTGGGCAGTTGAATCTCTATTCAGGCCTTGTAGCATACGCAAGCTGAGAGCAAAAGAGGAGTCGACACAGCACTCGGCAGTTTCAACACTAAAATCACAAACCAGTAACCTTCCTCTCCATGTGCTCTATCCACGGCAAACAGTACGAGAGGCGAGGGTGGCAGGGAGCCCCCTCAATAATCAGCCAGCTCGAACCTGAGGCCCGTTCTGTTCCTTATGGTTAATGGAGTCTAAATTGTAACAAAACACTCACGCACCTCAATCATTTGCTACAACCCAGAAAAATATTAGTGAGTGGCACACATCTGAGTGTATGTATGTGTTAGCTATCTTACATTGTAGAGGACAGTGGTCCACCCCTCCATGGTGATGCACTGGAAGACAGTGAGGACGGCAAACAGGATGTTGTCAAACTGGGTGATTCCATCATTTGGGCCGATCCAGGTTCCGTGGCAGGTGTATTTGGACGGACACTGACGCACACCACACGGGAACTCATACTCAGAGGAGTCCACTGTCTCATTTACTGAAAAGGAAGGTGCACATTTTAAAAAAGGAGTAATAAATAAGACTAAAGTTAAGTAAACAGACAGTAAACTAAATGTATTTAATGCATTGCAATATTCTCTGGCATTGAAACAACATTACTACAGGTAATGGCTGTTATTTGAATGAGATTTTCAATTCAAGTTCAATTTTATTTGTATAGCAATGTTTGAACTTTGATATGACTACTCACTAACATAAAATGCTCCCTTCAGTGTGTTTGTGTTATCTTGCTGTTCATTCAGCTTCAGTGTGACAGTGACAGGAGCAGCTCGGTGGTTAATGACAGCTGTGAACGTACAATAAACCATTGTGGTGCGCTGCTTTTGTTGGATTTAATTATACAGGACAACACCGCTGGTTTGGTTTGATCAAGTCTCCAGGTGCAGCCTGCCGTCCTATCGTGTGCACACGTGTTTAGGCAGTTGTGGTTATAACAATAGAGCTGCTGCCTTCTCAGTAAATACACATGACATAAAGCCACACATACACACTCAACATGAACAATAATAACGATGTAACCAAAGATTACAGTCCAAGCACTCGTATGTGCGTAAGCAGTTATATTCTATATGTACTGTATTTAAAGAAAGAAAACATCTTAAAACTAAAGAAGCAACATCATGCATCTACTGCCTGTTATATGCTGGGAGGTGTTGTGTGTAACCAAGTGTACTTGACAGAGATAAACTACGAGTGTATCTGTACCCAGTATTCCAGGCTGTGGTTTGCAGGTGTAGTGTAGTTTGCCGCTGTAAAACTCCAGGCCGATGATGGCGAACATGAGTATGGCAAAAAACAGAAGCAGGCCGATCTGCAGCAGAGGGACCATGGCCTTCATTATTGACTTCAGGACAATCTGCAGACCTGGAGGTGAAGAACACGACAGCAGGATCATGTGAGAACACATTTCCTACAAACCTGTGATACACTCATAATAAACATGTTAAGATTGAACCATTATGCTTCACAATAGATTTTCAAAAAATTATCAAAATAAAAAACATCCAATATGAATATGTGATTCCACCATCTCAAATGGGAATATTTATTTAATATTTTACCGATTTTATTAATAAGAGCTTTTCCTTTTTTTTCTTCGTGGAAAATGTAGATCAAACAATGGACGGGACATGAGCCAAAATAAAGAATCAAAATACACTTCAAATGCATTTGAAATTTTCACTGTTTGTATCTGTATATATCCTTTGATATAAGTGTGGCACTTACTGGGGATGCCTGAAACCAGCTTGAGGGGTCGAAGCACGCGCACTGCCCTCAGCGTCCTCAGGTCCACTGAGATGTTCATATGTGCCCCTGCTGCAGCCAGGATCCTACAGAGGTAAACATGTCCATTTACAAACCCACACAGAAAGCATATAGAGAGACAGAGACACAGCTGCCTGTGTGTTGCAGATGCTTTTAAATGCCACAGTATCATGGTCACAGAGCTTTGTAAAAATAAAAAATAAAAAAAGAGGACCCAGTCACACTAAGGCCATTATACATGGTGAGGGAGGTCTGCTTGGATATGGGGAGCATGAGGACGTGAGGGTCTCCAGCAGGCAGAGGAAGCAGAAAACAAGGAGGATGCTTTTGGGGCTTTTGGCTGTTTCACTGTGTGTGGGAGGACGACTGTGACAACTGCTATTTAGGTGGAGAACAAAGAAAGCAGCTACATCCAGGGAGGGCAGGACACCCTCAGGCTAGAGAGACACGCAGCTCATAGACAAACGCACACACGCACAAAAGCACACACACCGCACACTGGGCCTTTACCCCTCATCTGCCACAAAAAGCCAGAGTCCTTTTTACTCTGTTTGTTTTCTTTCGTGTCCTGCATTAATCCACCCTGTAAACACACCTTTGTGGCCTTCAACCCTCAAACTGATGAGGAAAGGAAAAGAAAAGCAGTGTCTGGTGACCCCCCTCCTCATTAGTGTGCCTCCCTCTCTCTCTTTCTACACCTTTATGTTGCTCTTCCTGTCGCTCTTCACCTGTTCTTCAAGCCTCCCCCAATTATACTCGCACCTCTGACTCTTTCTCTTGTTTTTCCATTTACTATTGACCTAAACACACATTTCATCTGAATGCTGACTGGGTGAGAGACAGAGGCAGATGGAGAGGTGAGGTAAAGACAGAAGGAAATAGCAAAAAGGTTGAGGATTATGGTCTAACTCCAACTTTCACTGTCCTGAGTGCTGTGGAGTCATGCTCAATCATAACTATATTAATCAAGTGTATTTTTCAAATGAAGACATATATGTTATCTACAAATATCAAACGCCTCATCTGCCCCTTTAAAGGTTCAGTGTGTAGAATTTAGTTACATCTAGTGGTGAAGTTGCATGTTGCAGCCAAATACCCCTCATCTCACCCTCTCCTTCCAAACATAAAGGAGATGATGTGGAGCCTTCAGTTGTCATAAAAACTCAAAAAAGGTGTTTAGTTTGTCCAGTTTGGGCTATTTAAAAAACATGGCAGCCTCAGTAGAGAGGACCCACCCCTGGTGTAAATATAAAGTATTTAAATATAAAGGCCAATTCTAGAGTTAAGAAAACAACAATTCATACAATTTAGATGAAACACAAGTGAAAACACTCTTATTTCATTTTAATTTCAGCCAATAGATCCCCTGAACCTAAATCGAACACACCAAACCTTTAATTAATTTGTGTTGGTTTGGCTTTATGTTCAGGACAAGTGAAGCACATGATTCGTGTTTGGTTTGTGCACATAGACTATATATAGAGATGGACAACGTGACAGCTCCCTGACAGTGAAGCAAAAGCATCTTGAACGCCAATTGGTGGCTGGCTGCAGTAGAGGTCATAAACCTGCCTTCTCCATGTTAATGGATAGGAAATGGACCAGTTGAGTTTATCAAAATGGGGTGAAAAGTCATGACAGACAGCTGAGACTGACTCGTGATTGGTCGAGTGTGTGTATCAGCAGGACCTCTATACCGCAGGGCTCCATCTGTTACTACTGCGCAGACTCTGGCTCCAAATGCGCAAGATTGCAGTGTTCATATGCAGGATATTTGGTGTTTGATGGAGGGAGGAAGGGCAGACACGTCGTCCATCTTTAAAAACAGTCTGATACATAGGCTCACCAGGTAGGAATTATCATAATCTCTGTTACAACATGATGTAGTTTGTCACCAAGTGCAGACGTAGTATAAACCGAACTGAGAAGACAAAGATGAAGACAACGACATAAGACCTGATATGTGGATTATGTAAAAGTGTTACAGCTCTATAAGCACATGATTTATGTACAATTCAGTGCTAAAGAGCCATCTTGGTACAGTCATTTGCTCTACAATGATTACATGCTTGATCATCACACAGCTGAAAAAAAACTAGCAACACATACCCAATTATATGACTGTGATGGGGGTGAGAATTAGTCCTGTCTATAGCCGACACAAAGCGTCATGTGATTTAATTAAGAGAAGAAAGAAGGGGAGAGAGGAGGGGAGACAGATTAAAATAGCTCAACACCATCATCCACACAAATATAGAAATTAAATTATCCTCATGAGATTCACACCTCTAACGCTCCCCCTTTAAATGTATTTCCCCCCCTTTCACTCCAGTCTCAACAACTCGTTTCCTTCACACTGTCTTTTCTTCTTTCCCCTTCTTTCACACTCCATCCACCCTCTCCTGCCACCTCTGTCATTTCATCCCCCACTTCCTCCATCTCTCTGTCTTTCTACAGACCATTAGTCAGTCCTGGCTGCCCTTTAGTTGTTATGGAGACGATGGGATGGAGGGTCTAAAAATGGCTTCCTCATTAAGTCTGCAGTTATTCAGTGGATGTCCTGGGCCCCGTTCTAATAATGACCGTTTGTCGAGGTGAAGAGTGACGCGGGATGCTCTTGAAGTGCAACTTCACAACACTCATCCTTTCCTTTTTTTTTTACAGTCAGAAATTGTACAGCCCGTTTTGATTTAGAATTATGTTTTTAAGCTTTTTTTCAGCTTGATTGAACCCCGGAAGATGACACACATCTAACAGGTGCCTGGTGCATCAACACGTTAATAAAGTCACTTTTAGTCACCAGGAGCTGACAAATCTTCACACGTATCTGCAGGCTGTTATGTGAGATGCGCAGTGTGGTGAACTGAGCTGATGCCCTGGTCTGAGTTGTCAGCCATGATAAGTGAGTAACAGTGACATGCCCTGCAGATGTGACAGCTCCCTGCAGCGTGACGAATCTGCTGTGACAAGCGTCATGCTGTGATACTGATAACGTTGTGACTTATGCTCCATGTCACCATCAAGCTGCTAACTCATATGACATGAGCACACCTGACTATTGTTAGTAATTCGTCAGCATGTGGTATACACACCACTGGCTCCCAGCTCTGAAAGTCACAAAATAAATCTGTAGAGTAAAATTAGCTGTTCATCTTATCTGTGTCACATTTGAGATGTTAAAGGGATAGTTCAGCTGGAAATGAAAATTCACTCATTATCTACACACCACTATTCCGATAAAGGGGTGGTGAAGTGTATGAGTCCACAAAACACTTTAGGCAAATGTTCATATTCGACTCAGTGTCATTTACACTGGGTTTTTAGCCTAAATGTCCTCTGATAGCCTCCTCTGAGCTGCGTTCACGTACACACGGGCACATAGGAAACACACACACTCTCGCCCAAGGGTACTAGCAGGGGTACACTTTTGTGTGGCTACATCCACTTCTGGTGGACTTTTAGGCTTAAAACATTTGAGTTTTGAGTTGAATTTGAATGTCGGGGCTTGCAGACACTTGGATGACACCACACAAGCAATATGGAGGCATGTTATGTTTTTTCTTTTGTTTAATTACGTCTGAAGTGATCGTGATTGACTTCAACTGTATTGGATTCGGCTGCAACACTGTTTACCCTTGAGACTCCAGATGTGTTTTTTCCCCTCACTGGACCGTCTTGTTTTCAGTGATCCAATCAGATCTCACCGAAATCTTAATCAGCCAATTATGTCGTTGCTCTCAATCTTTAAAATCTTTTTTCCTCTCTCACTGTCAGCTTTCATTTCAGTAATTCGATGTTACCCTCTTTGCCATCACATTCACCTTTATATGCAGAGCCATGGTAGGGTCGAGTCCTCTCATCATCACGTCCAAATCCTCAGTTTTCTCTCCATCAAATCTCAAATACCACTGGTGACTAGACCCCGAGTGAGGGGTTCCTATACTAAACTTCCTTTCAATCATGATGACATCATCAAGGGGGTGTAATTGCCAAAAACCCAATTATATCACATCACTTTCTCCTCTTGTTGTGCACAGCAGTAAAATTACATTTACTTGTCAATTAAGTCTGTCTAATCGAAATAATGTTCAACAGAGAATGAAATTGGTTGGATCACAAAAACAACCTCCAAAGTGACAATATCTCTTTCCCTGAATAGCACAATATTTTGAACGTGCATACTGTGGTGTATCATGACTGATACAGAGTGTTTGGTAGCATCATGATATTCCCAGCATAACTTTGTCTAACTACAACCTAATCTGATTGTCAACAAACATGCACACGACCACTGTCACATTTAATATCCATGCAGTTGTTAGTAATACCCAGAGGCCGAAGATAATGATGGACGACATGGAAACTCCCCAAAAAGTGAAGCCAAATAATCCTGAACGCCCCCTGGTGGCTGGCTGCAGTATAGGTTATGTTAGTGGACGGGACATGAGCCAAAATATAGAATCAAAATACACTTCAAATGCATTTTTCTCAAAAATGGTTTCTGTCCTTTTAGTTAGTTCATATCAGGCTGATGTTTGTTCGAGTGTTAGTTTCTCTGGTAAGTTTGGTTTTAATGCATCATTTGATGCTATAAATATCGGATTAAAAGTCATGATTGACAGCTGAGTCTGACTTGTGATTATTCAGGAGGGTGCATCAGCAGGACCTCAATACCGTGGCTCCACACCACGATCACTACTGCGCAGGCTCCAAATCACATGGAAATGGTCATGTATCATCTTTATATACAGTCTAATACAAATTCATTAAACCTGTGCTTTTTCTACAATGACAAGTCGAAAAAAACCTGCTGAAAAAATGTCTATTTCTTTAGATCAGTCGTTTTGGACGACGTCTGTATAGTTTATTTGGCCAAACCATTTTTCTCACATCCTAGACATTTCTGGGAGGTTTTTCCAGCCAGCACAGAGTAATTCACCACACAATATATCATCATTAATGTTTCAGTGTGTAAGTATCCAAGGGCAAGGTTTGCAGGAGATTGAATCAGTATAAAAAACTCCAGCAGAAACAAGCACCATGAGGAAACACACAGTGAGATAAT